CCATTTTCTGGCTTGATATTATTGAATGAGCATGAGTGGTCCTCCTGCTCCCTGCTCCAGTCCTGACACTGCTCCCTGCTGTTGTATACAGAAAACCAGAACTGTTTTGGTCTGGTAGTAACTTGGTTTAAATGTTACTGCCTCTCTTCATTAGCAACTTTTTCTTTTTTTTTTTTTGAGGTGCATTAAAGACAATCCACTAGTACATCTCCCATTCCAGAAATACCTTATTTGTTCTGGTTGAATATTCACTCAGCTCCTTCTAGATGAAAACAGATGAAAATCTACAAAATAAGGGCTTATGGTCTGTGCGTGTTTGCTGCTAATGTCCTTAATGTTATCACTCAGACTTTAGATGGTAGTAGCTACCCGTATTTGTTTTGATTGCCCCATATTCTGTGTTGATTAAATGATGGGGGAGATGTTATTTCCACGTAACAAAATGGCTGTTCCTTCGCTTTACAATTCTAATTTGCAAAAAAAAGTCTTCATTGCACTGCACTGACGTCTGATGTTTTTTCTCCTTCAAGTTAATCTCTGTGCAAACAATTTTTTGGCTGTGATAGCTTTTATCTAAAAAGACGACATTCCTCCAGTATTCTGTGATAAAGTACTGGTGTAAGTATTAATTTCAGAGAGTGATGAGGAAAAGAAAGAACAACCTTTTAGTTGTAGTGATAACAGCCTTAATTTTTTCCCTTGGATGGATTTCCTTAGTTGGGGAGAGCTGGAAAATTGATTTCTTATTGACTTCATGATTTTTTTTTGCCAGCACTGCAAATGGCCTTTTTGTTAAAATGCACTTTATACCACCTTCTTTCTTCCCGTTTCTCTGTCTTGTTCTCTTTGAAGCATTGTTAATTTTCCCTAAAGAGGGTCCAAACACTAGTCTGTCATTGTCACTGCTAGCAGATTATAATTTAAAACCACCATTTCCTATTCCCCACCAACAAGGGTATGTTTAGAGTGTTTAATTATTAGAAACACTGATGAGCAAGGCTCAGCATGATTTATAATGTTTTGGGTAGCGCAGAGGTTTTGGCAAAGATTGCTTTCATTGCTTTTATCATTTTTTGACCTGTGATAGTAACTGACTATTTAATAAATTTGAAGGATGCATATTTACACATTGCATTTGGTTCTGTTCGTGAAAAAATTCTGCACTTCTCACTGAACAACTACTGTTAGTGGTACTGCTCCCTGGATTTATATCAACTGCGGGCACTCTCATTGGGACAACTGCAGGCAGAATCTCTCTTTAAGAGGAAATGTAATGTGATTCTGGCTTGTAGGCTGGCTTAATAAAGGAGTTATTAATAAGGTTTGAGATTTTACAGAGTAATTTCATATTCTTTTCAGTAGATCTGTCTTGTAATTCTAGCTGTTCTCATACTTTGGGGGAGGGTTCTTAAGTCTGAAATTAACAGAAGTCAGGACAACTGCTCCTGATACCTTCCTGGTTAATATTGCAAATATGTGGAAAATATATTTTCAGCTTTTTTTCCCTACTTTTTTGTTATAAGTACAAACTGTGGCACACTTCCCCTTTTTTGATGAGATTAAATCCAATGAGAGTTAGTTTTCTAGGTTATCCTGAGAAGTAGAATAATGAATAACAGAAACACTCCAATTCATGGGATGAAAATGTGATCTTGTTTGGGCTTTTGTTTTTTGGAGCTGGAGAGGAAGTAAGGCTTCACCAGTAAACTCTTTCTGATTATAGAATACCTTTAGGAAGAGCTATTTATAGACTGCTGTAATTGGAGTAAAGAAGTCCATTGTATTGCTTGTGGTAGGAACACAAATGCTGTCATCCACATGAAGAATGGCTTTAAATATGAAAACTAATGATTTTCTACCTGAAACATGCAAAAAAATCAGCAAAAAAAATGCAATTAAAATATACTTTTGAACGTGTAATTTTTCCTGTATTATGCAGAAAGAAAAATGTATAGCAATGCTTGTCAGTGAATCTGTGATGTACCTGAGTACAAGATATCTGTGTATTTAAGTTCTGTCCTGTCCTTTTTCATTATATATGTGTAAAAACAATAGTTATTTTCATTTAAGTTAGTGTGATACTTTATAGTATGGAAACATGCCAGATGACTGAGGATATTTCACCTAGCTACTAAATGAAGTTAAAGAAAACATCTATTGAAGCCACAAGAGGTCTGTGTTTTGGAAATTCAATACCTGTGTAGTGTGGATTTAATCTAAAATGTAAAACATTCTGCCTTGGCCAACCTTATTTGTAACCTCCTGAAAGAGAAAGTCTTTAAATATTGTATGACTAAGAGAAAATACTGTGTCAGATCTAATTCAGGGAAAGCTGTGAAAAATACTTCAGCTGCCCCTGCCTGATCACTACTTCAAGGGAGTAGTGCACAGCAAACAAGTGTTTTGGAATTTGAATCTCTTATCTCTTAACAAGCCATTGAGAGCAGCTCTTTAAACCTATTCTATTTGTACAGCATGCTACAGATGAAGCTTATCTCAGTTTTAATACAAATTTTTGGGTTTATAAATGCAAGTACAGTAATAGAAAGGAAGAATTGACCTACTTAAGCAGGTTATAGTAATTGCAAGAGCACAGACTGATCTTTTTAATGCTAAGTGACAAGTGTCCCACATATAAACTACAGATCAGATATCTTTCCATTAAGAGTCATCTTCAGTATAATAATGCAGGACTTAATTTCTACAGTAGTCAATTTATTAACACAAAATGGTGAATAGTGAGGTTCAGGCAAAATGTCTCTGGAAGAGAAATGCAAATACTGGAAAGAAGTCTGATATAGCGTGGATCTCTCCAACATTTTCCCTTTTGTTCTGTTGGACATCTTGTTAAGGGTCTTTTTCTTTCAAATTTACTTTGTTCCTTTGACTTCAACAAGTCCTAGATACACCATAACTTCAGAGTAATCTGTTTTCCCCTTTTCTTTCATAATCAATTTTTTAGTAACTGATTAACTGAAGTATAGGACTGATTTCTTAAGAGTTCTCCAATGATTCCTTAGTGGCAAAGCTTTCCTAACGTGTTAAAAGGCTTAATTTCAGTCCTCTGCTTTCATTTTTTGTAACTGCTCAGTGTGCACAGTTTGAAGTTTGGGAGCCCATCGTAAGGATGGCTGGTTCACAGTTGGGAGATTCTGTGGGAGAAGACCAAATGTCATGTAAATGTTCTGGAACAGATTGAATAAGTTGGCTCAGCTTCTGCTGTTGATCGATGTCTGTATTGTTAACAGATGTCTGTGTATTGCATCAATAAGTAATAAAGTGCTTGTTCGTAATAACTGCCAGGAGGCAATGTTTTTGTGGGTTTAGTCTGTGGCTTATCAAGAAAAATCCATATCTATATCAGATGGTTGAAGAAAATGCTAAGACTCTATTTTAATGTTTAGTTTCAGGTCAGTAAATTACTGAAAGAGAAAACAATGCACTTCCTTTTCAAGTGGGACTATTTATCTATAGATCTCTTTGCAATAGAGAATTGCAAGAGTCCTCGTTTCTTCTTCCAGGCCTATGAAAAGCAGTTACTCATTTGTGCTGGAAAATATTCATAGACACCCTTCTACTAATCACTGCTGGGAAACAATCATGTTCCCTGATCTAGTGGCGGTGAAGCAGTATTGATGGGCAGATTGCCTGGTTTTCCATATAAGCAATTTCAAATGACTGGAAAAATGCTAAAAACTCTCAGCAAATTCAGTGTTTCTTATCGGTTGTTTTGAGGATGTCATTGGCTTCTGCTATAGAAAGCTTTCCTTGATGTCTAGAAAGCTGTCAGATTCCAGTCGTTGGAGATGTTTTTTACTAGAATCGGACAGTCGGACAGCCCATCATTTGTCGTCCATATCTAATTGATACTGTTAGTCAGTTTTGTTTTCTGTCATAGTTGAAAGACTCAAAGGTAAAGAGTTTGGTCTTTCATGAGACTCTTTGCCTTGCCAGTTTTTGTAGAAACCTATTCAGAAAACATATGTGAGATGATGCCCATTTTTTCATTTCTCTGTGCTCTTGTATCTTCAAAGTGTCTTCCAATTGTGTCACTCATCTGCAAAACTGGACAAGATATGCCTAAATATCCATTGAGGTCTTTAGCATATTTGGATATGACTTGGGTATTAGGATTTCCTAGGAATTGATACAAAGGAAGTGCCTTTTCCACTTCTCATGTGTGTGGCTCGGGTTTATTATCAGGTGAAACAAATTGGTGACAGTTCTGTGAATTTCTATAGTTCAACCTTTTCTAGGAAAACACAGCATCATTGTCACTTGTTTTTATCTTAAACTTCTGTATGGCTTGTAGCTGGAGGGTAGTGGTTTGTTCAACTTGGTATTTAAATCCAGTGCTATTTTGGGAAGAGTATTACTACAGTGTATACTTAAATAGTGTGGATAATGTGGGAGGAGGAAGAAATCCTTATTTTTAGTTTCTTAATGGATGCTAAACTCCCACAAGTTGACAAGTATATAGAGGGCATTCAAAGCAGTAAACCAGTCTTTCTTACTAGTCTTATCTCTAGGGAATTTCTTTCCCATCCATAGTCTACATATAATATTGAATTTATTGTCCAGAAATAAGCCAGCTATCTAAGTCAGTTGCACAATACTTACTCAGATGTTTTGATTCTTGAGGTGCTTTCCAGAGCTTTCTTGAAGATCAGTAGCTCAGTCATGTCAAATCTAAGTACATGGAAACATGAAGTATTTGTACTGTTACTGCACAGCTGGTGTTAACTAAAACAAAAAATATCTTTTTGAAGCACAGTGCCAATAGTTCAAAATACCTTTAAAGTAATTATAGTCTTAGATGTGTGTGACCTCCTAAATGGAAGTAGTCTGTATTAACATTGCTAAATTTTGCCATTTCATGGTGTACGTATGTCATACATGCATTTCAGGAGAGTATTGTCTTCCTTATTTAGCACTAGGTTTCTACTTTGTTTCCGGAGTGTGCTTACAGTTAATACTACCTTTCTTTTATATCCTATCAGGAGTATGATGATGGTTATGGAACTGCTTATGATGAGCAAAGCTATGATTCCTATGATAACAGCTATAGCACTCAAGCTCAAAGGTAAGTCTTCAGATCTATTGTAACTACATGTGAAAAACTCTACAGTTGGAAAGTTAGTTTTACTTAAAGGTTTTTTCAATTTCATCTTAAACAGCAAAAATGTCATAAGAGCCTTATTAAAAATAACCCTCAGTGTTATTTGTCTCTAGTATCATATAGGTAAAAAACTCAAGTGGTTGAAAAGCAGAAATGAGAACTTCAAAGAGTTTTAGTGATACCAAATCATAAATCAAGAAGTTTTCAAAAGTTCAGGAAATTTGGGAAAACCTGATTTAGATTCATTTCAGGAGGGAGCAGGGGTAGGGAGATAAGGAAAAAAACTTCATAAAAGGTATTAAATCATCTGAAGCACAGACCTGATTGCAGTTTCTTCTTAAATGTGGTTAAATTCCAGTATTTTACCTTTATTTGGCTGTAAAAAAAAAAAAAAAAGGTACACCCTTTAGTTTTCCTCCTTTGTGGAATCGTTTTCGCTACAAATTTAAGTCTCTTGCCATTTGTGTTCCTTCCCCCACTTCATTCTCAACAGTATTTTTAAGCACTTTTGATTTGTTTTCTTAAAATTTTGATTTCTTCAAAGGAAGTGCTGTTTGGGAACTCCATGAATTACAAGGAATACTAATGTGTCCCAATGATGGGAAAAATGCTATGAAGTACAAACTAGTTGTATTAGATGGTAGTTTGAACTTAATGGCAAATATCATGTGATATATTATTTAGCAGCTTGGCTAATAGACGTCACTATTAGTTACTTCTAATGTGCATGTCTGGAAAGGGACCTTCTGTGCACTTTTTACTGCATTGTAATTTATTCTCACTCTTTTTCTCTTAAACCCAGCATTCATAGTTTGATCAGTAGTGGATTTCTGTAATTTCATTGAGAATTTCTTGAAACTTTTATGGCACTAAATTTCAAATGGTTGAAAAAAAAAATGTTGAGAAAATGGTGAAATAAAACAAAATGCTCTAGTTGTACATTACTGCTTTATTTTTTTGGGGTGATTAGAGCTTTAAAAATTGCCCTGTGGGAAGAAAATAGTTGGAAAGGGAGATATCGGTGGATACTGTGATGCTAATAAATAGCTACTGATTAGACTGTCCTGCCTTCTGCTAAATAAGACTTTTTAAAATATAGCATTATGTAAAATAGTAAATACTGCTCACAGCAAAATTGAGAACAAAGCCATTTACACCTGGCATCTGCTTAGCTGTAGTGTTGTCACATTCGACTTAAATTTTGTTGTATAAATCATAGAATGGTTTGGGTTGGAAGGGACTGGAGTTGGATCATCCAGTTCCAACCCACCTAACATGGGCAGGGACACCTTCCACTAGACCAGGTTGCTCAAAGCCCAATCCGTCTTGGTCTTGAACACCTCCAGGGATGGGGCCTCCACAATTTCTCTGGGTGACTTGTTCCAATGTCTCACCACCCTTAGTAAAGAATTTCTTCCTAATATGTCATGTAAATCGACAGTCTTTGAATTTAAAACAGTTACCCCTTCTCTTATTACACTCACTAATAAAGGGTTCCTTCCCATCTTCCTTGTAGGGCCCCTTTAGGGTACTGGAAGGCTGCTATAAGTCTCTGCAAAGCGGCCTTCTGCAGGGTGAACAACCCCAACTTTCCCAGTCTGACCTCATAGGAGAGGTGCTCCAGCCCTCTGATCATTTTTGTGGCCCTCCTCTGGACCCAATCCAACAGGTACATGTCCTTATGCTGAGGGCTCCAGAGCTGGACTTAGTACTCCAGGTGGGGTCTTATGAGGGCAGAGTAGAGGGGCAGAATCATGTCCCTCAACCTGCTGGCTATGCTTCTTTTGATGCAGCCCAGGATACGTTGGCCTTCTGGGCTGAAAGCGCACGTTGCTAGCTCATGTTGAGCTTCTTATCCACCAACGCTCCCAAGTCGTCCTCCTCAGGACTGCTCTCAATCTGTTCTCCACCCAGCCTGTAATTGTGCCCTGACCCATGTGCAGGACCTTGGCCTTGTTGTCCATCATGAGGTTTGCTTGGGCCCACCTCTCCAGCCTGTACAGGTCCCTCTGGATGGTATCCCTTCCCTCAGTATGTTGACCACTCCACACAGCTTGGTGTCATTGGCAGGCTTGCTGAGGGTGCACTTGATCCCACTGTCCATGTTGTTGACAAAGATGTTAAACAGTACCAATACCTTTACTGACCCCTGAGGAGCACCAGTTGTCACTGCTCACCGCTTGGATATGGAGCTGTTGACTGCAACTCTTCGAGTGTGGCCATCTAGCCACTGAGTGTTGCACATCCTTACCCACTGAATTGTCCATCCATCAAATCCATGTGTCTCCAATGTGGATACCAGGATGTTGTGCGAAACGCTGTCAAATGCTTTGCACATTTCCAGGTAGGCAATGTCAGATGCTCTTTCCTTATCCACCAATGCTGTAACACCATTGTAGAATGCCACCAAATTTCTCAGGCATGATTTGCCCTTAGTGAAGCCATGTTGGCTGTCACCAGTCACCTCCTTATTTTCCATGTGCCTTAGCAGAGTTTCCAGGAGGATCTGGCTCCATGATCTT